GTATCTTAAGTAGTACAACTCCCCTAGGGTAAAGACAATTATACCAGTGTAAAAGTGCATATCCAAATATAGCTGAGTCCCCCATGAGAAGGTACCTTTGTACCAGTAATAACTAGGTCCACAGCAAGGGACAGATCTATTACCTTACCTTTAGAAACCTGAAGCGACAAAACTGGGAATATAGTCATTTCATAATTCATGTATATTCCTAGGAGACAGATAAAACCTTTATAGGGAGAATTGGCCCACTTGAGGTCTTATTTACTGGCCAGTGGTGCCTGTCTCTCTTCACTTTTCAGAGAACTTCACTTAACTACAGGCACTTATCCAAAGTTCCTTAATAAGGTAAAAAGGAATTTGGTCACAGGATTTCTTCAAATGGATAGGGAAATTAAACTGTTAGGAACAGTGTAGGCTGATTTGAATGCATCACTGTACAAATTTTAGCAAATCCCAACCCTGTTTTGCCATTTGGGGAAGTTCAGTGAAAATTTTTTTGAGTAACTTGAACAGGTCTTTTGAACTTGTGAAATAGATGAAGCAGATTTTTTTTGCCTTGAGTAGCAATCAGTCACACAAATTTTTGATTCTCAAGATGATTAGGAGACTTACAAAAACCATCCTGCCACAAAGGTGCACTGCTGCTGTGCACCAAAAGTAGATTTTAAAGTTCTGGAGGGATGGTTGTAGGCATAACTCTCTCAGGAGTGCTTGAATGGAACTTTCCTGCTTCTTTGTCTGCAATGGCGAGTTACCAGATTTTGACATTGGAGAAGTTGACTGGAGCACAGGGCTCCACCTCCAGCCCACATCTGTCATGCACAATAGCAGTGACAAGCTCTGCCCTATTTCTTCCTTATTTACCTCTTTTATCCAGGAAGTCATATATGATGTGGATGAAGAAATGTTCTCTTATTGTTTCTGAGCTTCCATTTTTCTCACTTTGTCTAGTCCTGGGTATCAAATATCCACCTGAGCTCTGCAAGAACAAAATGTCCATTGTTCATGAAGGACATGAACATGTTCAACTCTTCCATTCGTAGTGATTCTATTCCATCAGGGAGAAACCCTGTATATTTTTCAAAGGAAGCAGGTTTATTTTAAAAGAAGAATTGTTTTCCACTGAAAGGAAGATCATAATACTGCTTGTGATATTGCTCTGCATAAGAAAAGCTGGAGAGATCTGCCTATTGAATCATGAACTGTCAAACCTCAGAATGGTACTGTTGGTTGCATGTTTCCAAAATAGCTGATAATGTCAAAAGAAAAACATCACTTTTTGGTTTGTTGTTTTGGTTTTTTTTTCCCTGAAATCCTTATTTTGCTCAAGCATTAGAGGTGAAAAAGCCAGGATTCAGGTATATGATTTAGTTTGATATTCTGAGAAAAATGTAATTTTAAAAAATGCTGCTCTTTCTTTAAGATTTGGTATGTAAACCTCTTCCATGTTGAGTAATAATTTATTCTGGAAAAGACACCATTAAATTCACTGTCAGGAATAGTGGTAGATGCTGACCTTTAAATTTCTTCAGTCCAAGATGGATTATTTAGTTGTGTTTATATCAGCAGGGCATGAAAAGAGTCTTTTTCTGCAAATACCTACTAGCTACTTTTCACCCTAAAAAAGCAATCATGGAAACACTGTCCAGATTTAATTCAAAGAACATTTCTAAATTCTATCAATCCATACTCCTGTGACTTTTTAAATCCCAACATAATGCATGACAGGGAGAATATCCATACATCCAGACTCTATTAATTGAACCATTATCAAATTAAGAATACAAAACCAATTAGTTCAACTTATGCCCTCTTTTTTTTTTTTTTAAGTTTCAAGTTCAGAAAGATAGGACAACTTCAGCATTTTTATTTTTTTAAATTTTTTTTTCAACTGTCCTGAAAGCATATAGGAAAGAAACAGTCTTATTAGTTTCTATTGTGCCAACTGCCTCCTAAGGATTTTGTAGCACTACCTGCAAAAGTGCTCCAAAGATTACAGGGCCATTAATAGCTTATCAAATGTAACTTTTGTCCAGAAATTTTACAGAACTGTAATTAATTATTCATGTGCTATAATAAAAATAATTGCTAGTTTATACATGGCTGTATTTGAAAATAAGTATTGTAAAAGTCTATTAAAGCATTCCGTAAAGCTGGTGGTCTATACAAGTATTATTAAAGGAAAATGGAAAAGATCCCCAAACACTTCCCAAATCAGTGTTATTACAGTTGTAGCTCAGTCTCAAGCAACCACAGGAGTCAAGGCATCCAACTGCTAATGATGTGTATGCTACAGAAACAAATATTCCACATATCCTTTGAAAACAGTAGGTTGAGTGAAAGTATCTTGAAAACCAACTCTGCCATGTGTGTTTGTATTTGATGTTCAGCTTCCTTGCAGTCATGGCTAAATGTTACTTCCTTTGCAGATTAATCTGTGATGAGATCAGAATCTTTTAACCATATTATTCTTGTTCACTTTCTCCTATCACTTAAAAGATTTATTCTATGGCTGGTGATTGAGCATAACTGCATAGCACTTTTGTAAGATCAGGTGCATCAGAAAGAAGCCATTATTCCATAGAGATATACAAAATGATACAGTTGCTGCTGCCCTAGCAGACATGGTATGTAGTGCTGTCACCCAAACTTGATTCAGCTGAGTATTTCTGCTACATTTTTTGGTTTACCTTTTATTGGTGGTTCATGTATCTCTAGTGATTTGGGACTGCATTCCTATTTCTCACTAAAATTCCTCACTTGCTTTGGTTGTTTGGTTCTAGCTGATACTGTCAGATTTCCAGGGTGCTGTGTATCCTTGTACATGTGTTTTCTAACAACAGGTGCATTGGACAGAAGGCCACAGTTTCACAGCTCACAGGCATGTCCAAAATAATAGAGAAGATTGTGAACTGTGAAGAGGCATATAGCGGTGGCAGCATATGGTCATGATTCAGTCATCTGTGGATTCTCTTAGTAGTCTCCTTTAATGAACCAATTTTTGTTTTGTATTCCTTGCACTTGGATGAATTCCTGCTTTCTCTTCTCTTGCATGTGTATTTGGGTTGGTGCACAGCACCACAATGACCATGCCAGCCATAGTGTGTGGATGGGTTTTCTCAAAACTGAGAGCTGGCCATGCCAGGTGATGAAATTGGGTACTTTCCTAGTGCAGGCATATCTCTTCACATAGGTACTGTTAGGATATCAGTTTTGTAATGGATACTTATTTCATTCATGAAATAATTATTTGAACAGAGAAAGCATGTGTATTTGATTAGAGACAGCCTATTTTCTCAGCCCAAATAATAGGGGTATTATTTCTACTATAGTAGCACAATAGTAGAAATGGAAAGAAAGCATGTGGTAGTTGAGGCGCTGATTTGGCACAGAAGAACATGGCAAAGCAGTGTTTCCAATCTTAGTCTCACAACCTTGCTGATCCTTCTAACAAATCAGCTATCCGCTCATCTGAGGTAGAAATCTGCCTTTTGTAAGAAAAGTAAGGCTTTTTTCTGGTTGAGTGCAGAACAAGAAAATACTGCAGAATCATAAACATTCTTAGTAGGTTTAGCATTATTCTGTCAGGTTAGTATTATTCCTAGCTGTAATCTCTAGTGGAGAGTAGTGGAATTGAGCTGCTTTCAGTTTGATTTACTCATCTTACAGCAGAACATTTGCATAGACAATCTGTCTAAGAGTTTCTGTCAACTTGTTTTCAAGAAGCCACATTCCTAGATAAACAATGAACGTGTATTTTTGCATTGTGCCATATCCTCTGTCTATTAAAAGATGTACCTGCATTGTATCTAGATTATCTTTCAGGACATTTGAAAAAAAATTAGGATACCCTTTCTATGATTTTCTTGTCAAAGCTATGATATGTAGCAGAGTAGCAGATCCCTCAGAAAATACAGTTCAGAATTTTGTTCTCCTGGTCCCTTCTGATCAAGAGACACTATATCCCCTCTCAAATTCTATTATGGTGCCATGGAAAGGAGCCGGGTGAAGGATTTACTTCATTAAAATGCAATGCAATGCAGTTACTCTCAAGGCTGATGATTACAGTTGTAAATAGAGTTTTATTTTGAAGGATGCTGGATGATTTTTGCTCCATTCAGATGGGAATTTTTGTTCTTGGCAGCGGAAGGAGGAGAAGGAGGCAAATATGTATTGAACACAAAAATGGAAGAGAATCAAAGACTGAAATGGAGAGGCAAGGATGCACATAACAGTTTTTGACTAAAAGGCAGATAAGCTGTGTTACAACTTAGCCATATTGTTAAGAAATCATGGTTTCCTCATCACTTTCTTCCTGAAAGATTGTCAACTGATGTTATATAAATGCTTTGTCACTACAGTTTGAGTAAAAGCCAGGGCAAGCCGTTACCTTGTCTTTGTATGTGGCAAATGTGGGTTGTTTTGTGCACATGAAGCCAAAAAAAATCTCTGGCCTTAAAGGACTCCTGTCTTACTTTCATTGATCCATCCTTCAAATCTCATCTGTGCCTGATGCCCTGGTGTTTGACAAGGCTGATTTTTCTGAGGATACATTCTGCTCCCATTTTAAAATTTATTCTTTAGCTCCACCTCCTGGCTCTTGGTCTGTGAAAAGGAAGATCCTTGGGAATCACAGAGCCTCAAGAAGGGATCAGAAGTATTCATCCTAGTTTACAAATATTAATGTAGAGGTATATATGGGGACATTTTAGCTGAGGCAAAAGTGTCTTTGCTGTGCCCTGTCATACTGGCTTTCAACAGAGGCAAATAGTTTGGTGGAGGGTGGACAATGGAATATGTGGCTCATAGTTTCTGCTTTTTCTTGGGCTTTCAGTTTCTCAATTGTGGCAGTTTTGAGACATGACAGACATCACAGAGCAGTGTCTCTTTATTACTGTTTCCCCCCTGGTACTTCCTCAAACTCATGGGGGTAGGGAGGTACAGCAGAAATCGTCTGACACTGAAACATTAAAAAAAGATCTCTGAGGCCTTGCAAAGGAGTCTTGTTTCCTGCAGGAGAATTCCTTTGACTTCGTGTTCATCCTATTAAACCAGGAAGTGCCCAAGAAGTAGAGGAATAGATCTTAGTCATCTGGATTTAAGAAGAACAATGTCTCTTCCCCGACAGCTGCGAGAAAAGAGGTAATGGGTTATATAGCTTGCTCCTGCCTCCCCACAAGCCTCATGTAACTCCTGATCTGTTTGGTTAATTTGGATGCAAGCATCTTTGGTGATCCTAAAAGGCTTCTTGTTATCAGAACAGTGTGTAACTTCCACACTATTAGACTGCTTAGGGTCAAGCAGACCATTTCTTTTGCTGGAGAGGACTTTCTTCTTTTTGTGGGGAATATTCACAACCTAGGACATAGTGGGTCATTGTCCTCTTTATAGCTGCAAAACAAGTTTCCCTTTTACTGGAGTTTGTGATGAGTGTTTGTGATATGACTAATTATATCTCTTGCTCTCCATAACCACATCCTTCTTCACAGTAAGGGGTAGTATTTACAGTATTGTGGGTGGTGCTGATTCATGGCATTTTCCTTGTACAGAAAACTATTGCAAGATGTTGCATCATTGCTTCAGCATTTCAAATGGGCTACGCCTTGTGGAAGCCCCTGGTTGGGATATTCTCCTAGCAGAATAAACTGAGACAGCTACCAGTTTTTGGGGTTTTTTTTGGTGTTTTTTTTGTTTTGTTTTGTTTTGTTTTGTTTTTTTTTTTTGTACTATCAGAATATTTAACATTTTGTCAGCTTGGGATTTTTTAGATGATCCTTTTAGAAGTTTCTCTTTATCTCATTTATTATTCTATTTTCCTCATTCTAGATGCTTTTTACTCAGGTGTTAATATAAATACCCCTCTGACAACACTGAGTTATAAGACTGAAGCAAAGGTGAATTTGTCTGCTGCTTGTCAAAATTGTTGCACCAAGGAGAAGGTCATAGAAGAAAAAGCATCTGCCAATCCATGCTTTTTTGTAGTGTGGGCAGTATAGACTAGTAACATGACTGAGTGGTCATATGGCTGCTTCTTAGTAATCCCTGTTCCTGCAGAGATTCTTCCTTCTCACTTCAAATCCAATTCTTTCTAGAATCTGCAAAGCTTATTCTAACCTTGCCTACTAACATGAGTTCCTTCACACACTTTTGACATTTTCAAACAAGTATCTTTGTGCTTCAGGTTATCTGCTGAGACTGGGGGATAAATGCCAAGGTCGTAGGTTCTATCCCTGTGCAGGCCATTCATTAAGAGTTGTACTTGATGATCTTTGAAAGTTGGTCCCTTCCAACTCCAAATATTCTGTGATGAACCTTACCTGCTGTGACTGGGAGGTCTCTCTCCAAATATTTGATAGCCTAGCCTTATTTTTCCAAGCCTCTTCAAGAGTTTGCTTTATTGTGATGTCATCAAGAAAACTTGACAACATTTTGACAGCTGGTGTAGGCACCAATAGTTTTCATATAGAAAAATACTATGCTTTTGTTTCTTTGTTCTTTTTCTGTTTGTGCTTATCCTGTTGTTTCTTTTCTTATATGTATGTAGTATATTTTATGCATCTTGCACAGAGTATAAAGTTTTTAGGATTTAGCTTTGTGCTGTCAGTTTCTACAGCACCTTGCATAACAAGCTCTTTTCTCAAAACTGTTTCCTATATTCTACAGTAATGCAGTAATAATAGCAGCATAAATCATGATGTATAATGATCTCCTTAGAATAGGATCCACTGATGCAGAGTTCTTTCTGTAAATCTCCTAGATTAAGGAAGGATTAAGAATGCATCCACAGCTGATCACATTTATCAGGAAAAGCTTAGCAGTTCAAGTATTTGTTTTGTAGTCCTGTTCCTTGAGCAAGCCTAGGAATGAGAGGGGTATTTTTCAGGCATAATGAATCTTCTCAATGGTCACTGATTTATGCTGAACTTATTGAAATTTGACATCTCAAGATCAGACCTCCAGAGGAAGAGACTGACACCATGAGTTTCTAATATCTTGGTTTTCATATTAGAAAATGTGATATTGCCTATCTTTGCTCTGTGTGGCATAGGACATCTCAAAGGCTATTACCAATATGAGTAACCTAAATCTTCTGTTCTTGCTTCACAGTGATTTTGACCAGCTTCCAGATGATGTACCTGTTTCAGCTAATATTGCAGATATTGAAGAGAAGAAAGGCTTTACTAATTACTATGTAAGAAGGGAGATTTATCCTGCCTCTACATGCCTTCGCCAGTGACTGGTTTGGTTGTGGGAAGCAAAATGCACTTAATCTGGTGTAATTGCTTTTTGGTGTGAGTAGTTCCATGTGGAAGATTTCTCAGTGCTTTATTTTTCAGGAATGGAGTATAGTTATCCCAGATTCAGTCTAAAAATTTATTTTCTGAATGAAATGTAGGAGATATCCTCTAACATCATAATTTTTCCTAAGATCTGATTTGTTTCCTGTTGGAGTGCTGTATCATTGGTGAAGATAGTGGGAAAATAACTCAAAGGGTTGAAAGGGAGAGTCTTGCTTCATTATTCCATGGTACTGGCAAGTTAGGATGCTCCCATCTTCACAGAAAGAAGCATATTAAGACACGAAAGAGCACACAGGATGGGAATAGTAGGGAAAGGCACTAGGATTTTCTGAAGGTTTGAATATGCCCATCTCAGTCTGACTTCTGCTGGAGACATTGCTCTTAAAACACTTCCCACTGCAGAATTCAGGTTTTTCTCTGGAATAGAGTGATGTTTGGTTGCTCTGTCTTTATGTTTTCTGAAGGATCTGGCTGCAATGTGACTCAGAGGTCAGTGCGTGGAAATTTTGGGTTCCTTTAGAGCAAAGCAATTTTGTCAAAAGAGAAATAAAATAGTGGTTGAAGGAGGTCAGACAATAATTTCTGCAACTGTGTACATTAAAGTCAAAAAAGAAGTATGAATGCCTTCAATTCTGAAAATCAATTCATTTAAATGTCAGTCTGTCTTTAGATTTAGATGTCCAAGGCATCTTATTGTAAAATATTTGTGTTTGTCTTCATAATGTATTTTGCTTGTCACTGAGGCAAAATGTGCAAGCATAAAGTTGAATTTAGTAATTTCATGTTTCCTTTTAAGATCATATAATATAAAGCAGTCATAGGGACATGCTTCATATGCAAGCTGGACCCACACAAATACCTTGTTATATCTTAGTTCCTGAATTGGCAGATGCTTAACTGAAGGCGTGCTTTCCTCTCTGCTCCTAAGAGGATATTCCCACTAATGGAGCACAGATCTTATGTTCCTATTTTATTCCTCACATTCAGTTGGTGAGTATTTATAAGTATGAACACCATCCAGAATCCCTCTTCTCTGTTTCAGATGTTTGTCATTGAAGTAAAGCTTAAAGGTGGTGGCAGATACCTGATTTTCCGGCGCTATCGTGAGTTCTATGCCCTGCACACCAAACTAGAGGAGAGATATGGGCCAGAGAGCAATAACAGCCCATTTACCTGCACACTCCCTGTACTGCCAGGTAAGCTGTCAGTACCAAACCTTTGCACAATTAGCAGCTTTCTCAGCTCCAGGCTGCCTGAAGGAGGAATGCAATGAGAGAAGTAGTTGTGACAAGGAACTAATTCCTGGCTGTGGATGCCAGAGAAGTCATGTTCCATTGACAGCCCCTTCACTTGTAGTAAAGTTCATTTAGAAACCTAAAATCCTTTAGAAAATATGTAAATTTTTTTTCAGCTTCTACTTCCTCCTGACTGCTTCATTTCTCTGACAGCCTCTTTTTTTGCTTTTTTTTCTTCAATAACTGTTACAGGTTTTATATTTTCCAGGAAAAGTTTTTGTTGGTGCCAAAAAGGAAATTGCTGAGAACAGGATTCCTATCCTAAATGTCTACATGAAGGTAAAACTTAATTTTAAAGTAAAGAATGCAGTGATCACTGCAGATACTTAGCCATTGAAATCAGCTAAGGTAGACAGTACTTTTTGGGTTCTAAGTATCTGCTTCTCTCTGTTCTGCTTTCCTGAAGACACAGTGCCCACACTGTGGTACAACTGAAGTCCTCTTCCCCCGATTGTTCAGACTGTGGTGTCTGCTGGAGTATGCAGTTCACAAAGGGTCTTCATATACAGATAGACATCCTTACCAAAACCCCCCAAGATGTGTGAGGAAATGGTGAATCTCCAGGTGCTGCATGAATACAGAGTTGGTGTGTGCATCCAAGGGATTAGGAGAATGGTGGGTGGGTTGTGCTTTACCCTACCCACCATCAAGTGCCACGCAGCCTCTTGCTCACTCCCTCCTTCCCTAATGGAATGGGGAGGACAACTGGGAAATGGTAAAACCCACGGGTTGAGATAAGAACAGTTTAATAATTGAAATAAAGTAAAATATAATACTAATAAATAATTGTAATTAGAAGGGAGGTAACCAAAAATACAGAGAAATAAAACTAAAGAAGAAAACAAACAAATGATGTACCATACAATTCCTCACCACCTGCTGACCAATGGCCAGCCAGTCCACTGAGCAGTGATCAGTGGCTCCTGGGCAGCTCCCTCCAGTTACATACTGGGCATGATGTTCTATGGCATGGAATATCCCTTTGGATGGCTCTCCATGGAATATCCCATGGACCGGCTCTTCTGGCCATGCTCCCTCCTGACTTCTTGTGCAGCTCCTCACTGGCAGGACTTGGGAACCAGAAAAGCTGTTGGCTTAGAGTAAGTAAGCCGGTAGTTAGAAACAACTAAAACATCTGTGTGTTATTGACATCATTCTCGTGCTAAATCCAACACACAGCACTGTACCAGCTACTAAGAAGAAAACTGACTCTCTCACAGCCAGAATCAGGACAGGTGGGCTTCTGAGAGTACCTGAATTACAGTGAAGATGCAGCATGCATCAAGGAGAGATATTCTTTGTGTGCAGGTTAACTGAAGACCTGAACTTCAAATCAGTAAAAGTCTGAAGCACTGGCGAAGATTTCCACTACTTAAGATTGCCTTCTTTCCACAGTCATTCATGTTCTGAAAAGAAAAACAAAAAGCAATTTAGTTCTGCAGTAAATCAGGTACAAAAAGTGTGAAGCAATACATTGGCCAACTCCAGGAGTAAAGAGGAAAGACTGTCAGCTGTTCAGCTGTGTCCTGCTGAGTGAGAAAAGAGAGGAGGGAGCTTTCTGGCAGTAATGAATATCCTTCATGATCCTGTAGGTCAGAGAGGCATATTTGTTACATGTAAATAAATAGAGAATTGGTCTCTCCCACTGTTACACTCTGCTTCCTGCTTGCTCTTGGCACAGAACCTGCTCTGCCTCCCTGCTTGGGTGTTGATGGATGAGGACGTTCGGCTGTTCTTCTACCACTCAACCTTTGATGGCGAGCAGGTGCCTCACAGACTGAGACGGCTTCGCCCACGGACACGCCGAGTGTAAGTGATTGACATGTTTTTTTCAGCATTGCTTGATGTAAGAGACGCTGTCCAGTTTTGGGGGGAGAGAGAGATGAGGATCACCACTGTGTTTTCCAAGTGAATCCATGAATCCCTAATATAAGGGTCTTTGTGGTGGAGTGAACACAGACTATTTCTTGTTTTCAGTTATCTCAGATTTTTTAAGTGGATGTGGTACTTGCATTAAAGGAAAATTCCAAAATGAGAGTATTTGCCTTTTTAAAAATACTGTCCAGCTCTATCTGCCCATATTTCTTTAATGGTAATCTCTATTATAATGTGCAGAATATACAGGCCAAGCTTAAGGACATAGGCTTGCACCACTGAAGTCAGTGTGAGTTTTGGCACAGGTTTCAGTGAGATCTGGTTCAGACACTAAATGAAACTGAATACTTAATTTGTTCCCATCCTTTGTCTAAACAGGGGCCTGTCCTACATAGCAGCATTGACACCCCTTTGGAGAACTGCTAAGTAGACGTCATATTTCATTACCCTTTAGATAAATTAATTCTCCTTTCAGCATTCCAAAGATGGGCTCGCTTCCTTTTCACCTGCCTCAAACAGTGCAAAAACTGCATGAGTATATGATGGCAGAGTTTGAACTAAATGCCATAAATGCTAGAAACAATGATGCCCAGAAAGCAGAGTAGGGGGACTGAGCAGTGCTATGGAAGAGAGGTCCAGAATACTGACTGTATTGAAAATTCCATCTGTTCTCAGGAGCAGACACCATCAGATTGCTGCTGCTCTGCACTGAAACTGAGAGAACTAGGGCAGTGTCATTGCATCCATATTTATTTACTTCAGTGCTGCACACAGATTCTCATGCAGTTTCTCTGGTGATCTATGGCTTACATGCCCCTTAAAAAGTAAAAACACAGACACTGCACTACTGATTGTGTAGCATTTTTAATGACTTAGAAGGATGTTTTCCTCCCTGTTGTCTCATTTCTTTGCAGTAAGAGTGTTTCAGATCAAGTGCCTGTTTTTGATCGCACTGCAGCTCCACGGGCTGAGGTGAGTACTCTGCACAGCGTGTCACAGGACAGCAGATTAAACTCCGGTTTACTGTGGTATCTCATCCATCAGGTTGCCATTTTCAATTAGAGCTTGGGGGAAGAAAGTGAAATAAACAATTGATTTTAACAACAGGGAATGAAACAAAGGATGGAAAGAGGTGTCCTGTTCCTCATCTCTTGAGTAATAAGAAGGTCTATGGTGAAATCAGAGTGACAGGAGATTCAAAACTGAGACACGTACAGCTTACTGCCAAATGGTCCACATTTGCATAGTGCTACCCATAAGTTAAATCTAAAACAGGCATAAGCTTCAGCCTCAGTGTCTTCAGTATATGTTTAAAAGCTTTGCAGGGGAGGCATCTTATTTTTGTATTTTCTGTAACATAAATGTATTTTCTGTAACAGAAAAGGCCATACTCTTGTCTTTTGTGGTATATTTTCTCAGTATTAAGCACATGAAACTGCTTTGTAACCAGTATTTGTCCGAGCAGGTTTTTGCTTCCTGAAACATGTGATTTGCCATATAAGATTAAAATCCCCAGGCATCTGCTTTGAGTTTTGTTGCTTTTGTTCTTTACACAGAGAGTGATAGGTCTTGGAACAGTCATATCTCTTGGGTTTTATCTATTAATTTATTAGTATTGAATATACCTACCAGAACTTTTCAATAGGTGAAAAAAGGCTTTTGAAAGGACTAATAAGTAGACACTAGCATAACAGTAGCATTGTTTTGTTTGTTTTTTATTAAGAGAACTCTTGGCATAAACAAGATCAAAAGAGCAATCGCAACACAGAATAAAGAGCACCTTTTCATTTTTGCTCCTCTAGGACCATTTAAATGACCATGTTTCTCTAAGGACAATAGGAGAGATGTGTATTTTTGATAACACAGCCACTTTAACTCTCTAACCTTTTGTTAGGGTGATAAGCATGTATTTGCCTCCTTTTTTTTTTTTTTTTCCTGAAGAGGGCATCTAAACTCCATTTCAACAACACGTCAATTTCCCAAGCTTTCCCACATCTCCCAGTTCAGCATCCAGACCTGAAAGCTAGATGTAAAAGCAACAGTTAGTTACCCTTAAATTAAGACACAACATTTCTGCAATTTTTAAAGGCTCTTTGTGATATTTTGCAGCAAATCTAAAAGCTGTAAGGCTGCAATGAGAAATATTATATTTTTTCAGTTCTCAGGATTTCAAGCTGTCAGTTGGCTTTAGCTCTGTTGTCTTACTTGCTCTTAAGTATTTTCAGCTTATGTATATTGATCTTTCTGGTGCTCAGTGTTCTGTCACTTTAAGAATCCTTTTATGTAGCTCTCTCAGGGTCATGTTTATCCTACTGCTTTCACTGCTTCTTCAAAGCAGTTTTGTGTGTGCTGAGTAGGAGAAGAGATTGTGAGAACTGCAGACTACGGTCAAATATATGTGACCTTATCCCAGAAATACATATGTGATGACAAAGTGCACACTGTCTTGCTGCTTTATGCTTTCTCCTCAAGAACACAACAGAAAGATTTGCTTTTGTAATTCTGTGAATTAATAATTTTGAGGTTATTACTTTCCATAGGCACTGTTTGATTTTCCTGGAACCAATAAACTGGAACTCAGATTCAAGAAGGGAGATTTGATCTATCTTCTCAGCAAAATAAACAAAGACTGGTTGGAGGTAAGACTGCAATAGCAGTACTGAATTATTAGCATACCTTGAAATATATGAGTAGAAAGGGCTCTTCTGATCCTTGTGACTTGCCTCTTCCTTTCAAGGAGAAACTGTATCATAATCAGATCTTACTGTCAAAACTAAATCCCTGATTCCAAATTAGTAATTGTTTGGTTCCTTGATGGTTTTTAGCTTACAAATGTTTTGCCCTCCAGACTTCAGTTTTCATTTGCATTTGCTTCTGCTGGAATGTTTTTAAATTCTTTGGAAGTGATTAGAACACAGAAAGGCCACAGAAAGGAGATGGAAACTCCATTTCAGCGATTAATTGGTTTCTGGCCTCAGGGTGAGTTGATGTATGCTTCATGCTTCATACCACAACACACGTCAGCCTGATTAGGGAGAACTTGGGTAATGCAGCAGTGCTCTGAAAAAAGGATGAGGGGAACATACTGTATGTTTGCTGATATGATATCTCTGCTTGCTCAAACACCACAGCCTTCCTTTCTAGCCATCTGACTTGCATTTTTTACACACTGTTTCACTCCCCTGCCTGGTATTTGACTATGTAATTGTATAACCTTTTTGTAGGGATGCCATCAGGTCACTTCCATAGAATTTCTTTTCTTGATTGTAATGGAAAAATTCTTACTGTTATTTCTATGTAAATTAATCGAATTCCAGAACTTATTGCATGTGGCCAAAACGGCATGGTTTTCTTGATTCTAACATTTCCTATCATTCCAGGGAACTGCTGATGGTGCCACTGGGATTTTCCCATGTGCTTTTGTGAAGATAATAAAAGATTTACCACAGCAGGAAGACACAGTTAATAAAGTTCGCTGTTATTACTATGATGAGACTGTGAGCACCATCAGGTAGTAACAAAATAGCCTTCAAGTTTGCTGATGAAGAAACACCAACAATTCTCTTGTCATGATATGTAATGAGTATATGTGTTCTAAATACAGGGATATCTCAGTGGAAGAGGATCTGAGCAGCATTCCATCATTCAAAGATCTAATGGAATTGATGAGGTACAATGCAAGCACTTGGCTGTATATTTGATACTTAAACATTTGTCAAGTTCATTCTGGTTTGAGATTTTCCACATTCTACTTGGTCAGCTCCATGTTTTATGTATGAAATACTTTTCAAGTGTCTTGAAGAAGTTACACTTTGACTTGGCCTAGGGTCATCTGTGCAGATACTAGTCCTTTCTGGGATTGTCAACGAGTAAGGAATGACACACTTCTGACTCAATTGTGATGGGTAGAAATTTCCATTTCTTGTACTATGACAAGAGCCATACCCCCATAAAAGCATCTTTTGTCTAGTACATTTCTTCATGATGTAGGACACGGCCTTCTAACACTTGTTAAACTAGATTAATCTGGTGTTGAACATCAACAATTTAGAACATTAAATATTAGTAAATACTGGTAATAGAACACCTGTTCTAATATTCTTACACTCCTCACAAAGAGCAAAAATAAGTAGGCAAAAGTGGGTGGTAACCACAGTCAGCTCTTTTGCATGGTAGTTCTATCAAACACACAGATTAATTGTGCCATTTATGTGGTGTTACTGGAAATGGTTCTTGGTTCTGGTAGATTTCTTAGCTTAAAAACAACACAGCATGAATGTGGCTACATGATTTCTAGTACTGCTGCATCAAGAAAGCCAAGATACCCAAGGGTTTGTGTGACTTTTATTAAAATTAATTAGATTGTCAGTATATTATTCATCATGTAGCACCTTCCAGGCATTCCTTGATTTCTTGGGATCAATCCATTTCTTTTCTCCCAGGCAGGAGTTTAACCAAGAAGACATTGTTTTGAATTACCGGGATCCTGAAGGTGACCTGATCCGCTTGCTCTCCGATCAGGATGTTGAACTCATGGTGTCTCAGAGCAGAAGAAGTCCCTCTGAGAAGCACTTCTTCCCTTGGAAGTTGCACATCACTCACAAAGATGACTTGGGTGTCTACAACACTAGTCCAGGAACAGGTGCTACTCAAACAGTAGGGGCGATGTAAGTGCTATATAGATATCCCTCTCTGCAGGCAGTTTCCTTCAAAATGTCTTTGAAGTGTCCTTGAAATGAGTAATTTTTAGTGATATATTACCTTTCAGTGTAAAATCTGTACTTAGTTAACTTCTTCAGCTTTTTAGCACACATCTGCAATACAGACATCTACATAGAGACCAGAGAAAGTGAGTAATAGAGAAATAAAATCATGGGCCATGTTTACAAAGCAAGTCAGTGTCAGCCTGCAAAAGAGGTCTCCTGAGCCCTTAGACCTGCTCTAGTTTCTGTTCTTACTCCCAAGACTAGTTATTTGTCCAGAATGTCTTCATAAGCTTTTGTTTTTTCTCTAGACTCCCATAAATTTCTCTTCATTTGCTGATCTGAAGGTTTGTGGGCCGTTGGAGTCTGACTGGGTGTTCAGAGTTTGTTCTCAGAGGATCAATAAAACTTTTTTGGATTTCAGTGAAGAAGTTTCAGCCCATCTTAGCTTTCTTCTTTTCCACTGACCAGTATATTGAATTCTGTGAATCAAACCTAGTACACCTGTGGTCTTCCTTTTAGACCTTTATATAACTGTACAATCTACTTATTTTCATGTTCTAGGAAAATGTGTAGGATATCCTACTCAAACAGCAGTTTCTTCTCTATCTTCTGCTTTCTGACCCTGCATTCAGAGTAGAACTAACAAGAAATTACTGTATCAGATTCTTCAATGAATAAAGTTAAATATTAGTTTGTCAATTTTTATTTAAAAGTGTTTTTTTGGGGGGGATCAGCTTCTTGACATTATTTTATTAAAATATTACAAAATGTAACTTCCTGTTTCAGAGGCATTGTAGCAATGCAGTTTAGAAAGGAGATGAAGTAACAGCAATGTGATATTACATGTGATACGTAAGAAAATGCATTGTAAGTTTGAAGCCTAATGGCAGGTATGGACTGCAAAGTTTCTGGTGTGCAGGATTCTTTGTTACTTGTTCCTGGAGTTCAAAAGAGCAAGTGGCACTCAGAGATTTTCAGTGACAATTGGATCCTGTGATGTAACCAGCAACTCATGCCAACCAGCATGTCTCTCTCAAAATGGAGGAACATTTTCAATGAGAAGGGAAAGGGAGGAAAAATGTCTGCTAGGGAGCAACTATCCTCTTTTATAAGGGTGCTGGAAGAACATAAACACACTGGCCTTTGAAAATCAGGGCAGGATTATCCCCCTCTGCCCTTAAACTGCAATGCAAAATAAATTCTTCCCATCCAGCCAAGTTACATATTCCCCTAACTGTCTGCAGGTTTTATATGGACACCTTCTCACACACAGTTACCCCAGATATTATCCATTTTCTTTTTCTTGCTTTGCATGTTTCCCTTATTCACATGATAGGGGTTTTTTGGGGTTTTTTTGCTTGTTTATTGATGCAGTTCTGATGAGAGAATAACTCTGCTGCCTGTGGTTTTGGTCAGTACCATGAGGATTGAGAGGAGGAGTAGCAGTGCAGGTCTCTGCCAGTTATATTCTGTATCTGGGGACTCATATAAGCCCCCATAGTTTATCCCTGAGAACACAAACCTGAGCATGTTTCTCCCTTATGGCTGTCTAACTTTCCTAAGGTTTATTTCTGAAGGCTTCTGGGCTGCTTTATGGTTGGATTAAAAGATCAGGCTGCCTTGGATGTAGGATAACTTCAGATCAACTACTCTCACCAGTTTTCTTGTTTTCTTTATGTACTACAGTACTTATAGTTTATTATTAATTGTTGTTGAAATGGGTAAAACTTAGAAATATTACTAAAGAGTTACAGAGATAAAGGTAGTTCACTCTCCCCCAATACAGATGTACAAACAAAAGTCCAGAGAGATCCCTGCCATGAAGATTGTCTAGTCTAGAGCAAAACAAGAAACAGCACTGGAGTGAAAAACAGAAAATTCTTTCTTCATGTCTCTTACATCTGCTGCAGTCAGTCCTGTATCTTTCTTAAAATACATAAGTCTCATGATCTGGTAATTACTAACACATAGATTGGCAATGACAAACTTCCTTTCCCTCCCTTCCCAGTTAACCCAACAGTCCCATCTAAGTGCATGCTTTGGGGGCTAAATAGGAAGTACAGACTTCCTATTTTGTGCAATTGCACAGACTTTCCTTGAAAGGGAGGTGTCAGCTTCTCTGAAAGTGGCATTTGAGGTTCATAAAAGATGCCGTAGTTATTTTGAAGACTTACTTGCCAAGAAAATCCTGTGGTTGGTTTATACTTCTGTCTCCAGTTCTAGGCAAGTGTGGATTTGCTGATATCTGCATCAGAGGATTCTGGTGCTGGGGGGTGGTGCTGGACAGGGAGAGTTCCCCATCAGGTTGAATCATCTGCCTCACAGACACCCCTGGATTCAGGTAAGGGAATGACTTCCTTTCTGGGGGAAGCATAATGGTAGAGGCTGCTCTCATACAAGGACCTGTGAGTTACTGGGGGATTCCTTAGCTGCAATGATTATTCAATGGCTCAGGCAGCTGTTTCCAGTCCAAGGAAGTGGCTTTTGGGAATCTGAAAATCAATAGGAATTGAAAAGTGGTTTTTCCATGCTCCCCTAAAGTAGAAAAAGTCTCAGATCTGTAACGTACTTAAGTAGGTGTGTGTACTATGACTTTGAGAGAGCGATGAGAGATGGCCAAAATTACTTAAATTCCAGTATTGAACAGTGTGGTCCATGGTCCTGGAACTGCTCAATCTACTTTTAGTCTTAACCAAAAACCAGGAAAAAAATTAAATTAATTTCTTTGGTAGTTTGTCTACAATTTGCAACTTGTTTGGGGCACACTGAGAAAAGTTCAAGAAAATTCTCAGAGTGAATGAATATGGAAATCCATCCACTATGGTTCCTAGGAACTTTGTCATTGAGATCATATTTTTAAGGAAATTAACCACTGTTGTGGTTCATTAGGAAGGCTTTAAGCATAAAGAGCAGAAGAATGAAATTAATTTTAAGGATGAGTTCTCATCACAAATCAGGATTTTTGTCTTGTTGCTGCTCAGCTGACCAAATCCCTGCACTTCCTTGGAAATGTACATTTACTTCATTCTCTGCTTGCATTGCAACAACACACAGTGAGGACGTGAATTTTGTCCTACAAGAAATGTCTGGTAGAAGTTCTTCCTGAATGTCACTTCAACATGATCTTAAAGAAGTTCCCTTATTCAGTTTTACTTCTCTTTATGTGAAACAGAAACAAACAGCTCCACAGTAAGCAGGGCAAGAGAGTGGCAAGTGGGCAATGGAAACTCTGAAATTCTGAGTTAGGATCAAGCCTGTGTGCCAAGGACAATATGGACATAAAAGAGATTTTCATCCTGCTGCTGTATCTGTATTTGATCTTCCATGTTCAAGCCATTCAAGGTGAGATTCAAATTTATATTCTCTTTCATCCTTCCATTATTGCCTTTCTTTTTAAATGTCTCCTTCTTTCAGCCAATGCTCTTCCTCCTTTTCTGCTTGCTTTTCTGCTTTCTTCTCCTGTTTTCTAAGCTGTAAGAGAGCAGACATCCTGAGCAAAACCAGCATGTAGCAGGTGCATGTACAGCTAAATCAGTTGTATGTTGGTGGTGTGGACAGTATATAAATGGATAAGATGAACAAGCTGATTGGATAATGAGTGAATGGAAGGAGGGATAGACCCTGATAATTAGTGAAAACATAGGAAAATGAAGGACTGCAAATGAATGCATAATTCAGATGGTGCACAGGAGTAGAGACATGTGGCCAGACACAAGACAGTGTGGTGGGGGCTACCAAGAGCAAAATCCAGATGACCTGTTTTTCTTCTTCTGGAATAGCTGACAGATAAAGAGACCATCTGCCATATCCATTGCTTATGCTTCCTTTCTTACACAATGAGAATTTTCTTTTCTTTTCTTTTCTTTTCTTTTCTTTTCTTTTCTTTTCTTTTCTTTTCTTTTCTTTTCTTTTCTTTTCTTTTCTTTTCTTTTCTTTTCTTTTCTTTTCTTTTCTTTTCTTTTCTTTTCTTTTCTTCCTTTTCCTTTTCCTTTTCCTTTTCCTTTTCCTTTTCCTTTTCCTTTTCCTTTTCCTTTTCCTTTTCCTTTTCCTTTTCCTTTTCCTTTTCCTTTTCCTTTTCTTTCTTTTCTCTTTTCTTTTTCTCTCTTCTCTTCTCTTCTCTTCTCTTCTCTTCTCTTCTCTTCTCTTCTCTTCTCTTCTCTTCTCTTCTCTTCTCTTCTCTTCTCTTTTTCCTTTTTCCTTTTCCTTTTTCCTCCCACGCTCTGTCCTCCCCTGCCTCCAAATTTGATTTCACAGAGCTGGGAAATCAATAGGAAGTACACCATACCTACCACAAGACTAGGCATATAGCCATCCTAGAGAGAGCAGACAAAGAGTGTTATCAGGAGTTGTGCTCCATGGACATCTACCTTTTCTAATGCAGATGCTCATGTCTGCAGTAGCTGGAGGAGTTGTGCTGCCTGGCCCAGCATTAATTACAGGATATCTTCCTTTGAGGTCTCTGAAGTGTAGGTCAGACTGGGTTCTTGGCATTCTGAGCCTTACCCCCACATTGACACTTCCACATTCTTTTCTATGTGGGATGCTCCATTTTCTGGTTACACAAGGAAAGCAGTAGAACTTTGTACTGGTTTTCAGTAGAAGATCAAAGTAAGGTCCCTCTTATGCCTCCTAAGACAGCAACATTGTGTTCTGATGGGTTTTTGCCTGTAAAAAGCCTCTCAAACAAGCTGATTATAGCTCTCATCGAGAAATATTACTTGAGAGAGCACACTCATGTATGCACCTTTGTCACCTGAAGGTGCAATAGCCCAATAGTCTAGCATGGATATTGCCTTCAGGGAAAATAAGGAAGGATAAGAAAGCAGCTTGCTTCATAGTGCATGTGCCAGAGGCAGTCTATATTTTTCAGCTTCACAGTTGTGAACTTAAAAAAGAAAATATCCTTCATGAGAGATCTGGCCATCTCTGGATCATAAATCTAGTTCCAACAAATTAGTTTGGACATTCTTCTGAGTCATAGCAAGGCTATTCTCAGAGCATCTCACCTAGAAATAGACCTTTCTAGCATTACAAACTTTACTGGGAAGTTAGTAGCAAAAAAGTTCCCACAGCAACACGTAAGTAGGAAATGATCACCATATGTCTGCTAACCATGGTATCGACTAATCCTTGGATATACTCAGTGTTTGGCTAGAACTGTATGTCTTGCAGGCACAAAGATTTCACTAAATTGTTGTTAGCTGTAGTCTGGTTTGGACACTTGTGTGTTGCGGAGATGTGCAGAGTGGTCACAACTCTGCACATATATTCATGGAGTCATGCCCCATCCCTGAGATGTTCAGGGCCAGATTGAATGGTGCTCTGAGCAAAGTGGTGCAATGGAAGATGTCCCTG